TTTTTTGTATGAATTTGGCAATATTCAAAGGCAAATTTATGAAATTATTAAAGAAATCCCTTCTTGCCACATCAACCAAATCCATATTACTTCCAATAACTCTTTTAGTTTAGGATCTATTTCAAAGGAACTCATCTACGCCTTCATTACCCTTAACCAAACAAACTCGCATTACCCTTCTAAGTCAAACCAACTTGGAGTGAATGGTTAAGACATATGGTTGCTTGGCTGACAGTAATTCCAGGAGAACGGTCAGCATGGGTGGAATGGTTGAAGCCTCACTTTGTGCACTCATGGAAGGCAATCAAAATTTTGAATTCATTTAGATGACCAAAACTCCTTTGCCTTTAGACAAGAACATGTTGCAGCAACTATGTATTTTTGGTCATGCTCCTACAATTGCTTTCATTCCCTTATGGTGCCATGTTTATATCTTTATTTGACATTTGTTCACTGACTGGCCTCCCCTACATCAAAGAAGAAGTTTTTGCCTTGCTATCGGCTATTCCCACAAAGGAGTATGACCTTAGCAACACCAAAACGTCCTTTCTTGGCTTTTAAAGAAACTTAATTCTTGCCTCCAAGGGTAAAAATTTGGACTTGAGAAAACACATCTCTTTTATATTATGCTTGATTTATAAGTTTATTGTTTGCTTTAATGGAAAATGTGTTGCCAAAGAGTTTATCCCTCTTGTTATTAATTTGTCACATGGCAAAAAATTTGTGCTTGCTCAATTTATACTCAAATATATATATTGTGGCTAATGTTGCAATCTTTCCATTTGGGAAATTCAATGATACTCTTTGGGTTTGCTAACTGTGACTTTATTCTTATTTCTTAGCTATTGCCCTCGAGTTTAAGAAGGCTAATAATGCAGACTTGCTAACTTACGAATGTGTGTCCAAAATGTGAAAAAGCTAACAAAGAGTTTTGAGACATACTTCAACCATTTTGCTTCCCTCTCAATTGATCGGCCTAATATAGAATTCGTAGTGTTTCTTAACAGGAAGTATGCCCTGAAATGGTATAAAGAAAGTAGAAACAACAAGGAATTTAAAGATTGCTGGAAAGCTTACATCTCTCTAAGAGACTTGTTTATAGGTTGTATCATTGAGGCACTACAATCAAGGTGCAACTTAGAAGTATATGCACCTAATCAATTTTGTCGACAACTCAGGTATTATCAAGACATCTTTGCTCCACCTCAATTTATGAGCAACACGTGTTTCCTTTTGAGGTTCTTCCTTCTTTAATAACGCTGAATTCGTGAAAGAGCAAATCAACCTCACTAGCACATTCCTCAAATTAGTCTTCTAGTTGCCTCCTTTTAGTCAACCCGATTGTATAAAAGCTTAAAAGGACTCGTGGATTTCATATTTTACACTACTTTTTCATGACATAATGGATTCAATTGATAGATTGGCTCCCCCAAAAAGTAGCAAAAAAGAAAAGGAAGACAAAACCAAGGCCAAGATTGCCTCACATATTAGCAAAATAAAGGATTCCTTAACTGAAAAACCAAAGATGCAACTTGTCAAAAGGAAAGTGTCTCCTCCATAGATCTTTAGAGAAGAAAAGGGCACTAAACAAAGCTGTAAAAGGTAAATTTTTTAACTTTCAATCTTCATTGCTTTATTTCTTTACTTTTATGAGACTAATCTCATTACTGTACAACAGAATCTGTTCAAGCTACCTGTAATATCCCAAATTTTTGGGAATTTTATCATTTAAGTTAGGGACTTGATTGTGAGAAAATATTATTTTGGGGCTTAATAGCTAAAATTTTGAAACTTGAGGGACTTAAAAGGGATAAACATTAAGATAAAGGGTGGCTGATTATTTCCCGTTTTTCTCCAGCCACTTTTCACGTGATTGCTTATCTTCTTCCTCCCGACCCCCCTTGCATCCCGAAAGCCCCCAAGCTTGCCAACCTCCATGCTTGGAAAAAAATTGGAAAAAGGCTTGAAATTTCTCTTCTTTTCTTGTTCAATCACCAGATTTAGGACCTAGAAATCCCTTTAAAGCCATAAATATTTCAGATCTGCAGTTTCTCTTCCTCCCCTGTCCGCCGGCTGCTATGTGGGTGTGTGATTTTTGGGCATTTTCGGTAAGCTACGGCCATGGATCTCCTCCTTTTAGCCTTAATTTAACTTGGGTTACTCTAATTTGTGCTTTTGGTTCTCCAATTTTGAGGTAGATCCGTGAGTCTCCCCTGCAGATTCCGCCGGCCTTCCTCCAAACCCGCCAGCTCCGGCCTTGCTTGCTGAATTCTGGTATGTTGACAGCTCCTCCAAGCCCGAAATTTCATCAATTAATTGCTGCCCTGTGTTGTTAAATTTTATCCATGTGATTGCTGTCCTGTATCTTCGAATTTTCTACTTTTAATCTGCTCCTCTGCTGTCGGAAGTTTCTGCCGGAAGAGGGAAGAATTTTGGCAGCATTAGGTTGCGTTTTTTTAGTTTAATTTATGTAGAATTTCCTTGAATTGGCTGCTATGATGCTATCTATGAAGATCCCGTGTCTTAGCCCCTGTTTTTGCAAAAGACAAATGATTGACATACAAGCCATGTTTTCCCATTTTGTGTCCGTGGGATTGGGAAACCAAATTGGTGAAATTTGGCTCTAAAACCTCTTGTTTCAGAGATTTTTGGATATTATGATTTTATTTAAAAATATTTGGACCTTGGGTAGATATACGGTTTTGAATAAAAGTGAGTTATATTATGGTTGAATTTCGTGTGAAGCTCATTGGTTAATAAATTTGCAAGGTTGTGCTAATAATTCTAGCAAGGTTTGAATGCTTTTATTTTGGAATATTAGGTGCTGTTATGCCTTAGAGCACTGGGATTGAGTTCTCGGTTTATGCGATTTGAGGTAAGTAAATTTATGGTAATACCCGTACAATTTTTAAAAGCATGTTTTGACTTGTTTTTGAAGTGGTGGCGGGACTAAACCCGTTTTATACAAAAGTAAGTATGACTGATTTGAAGTGAAATTTTTATGCTTTTCATTAAATTGAGCATGCCTACTTGAAATTTAATTGATTGTTCTGATGATCTGAAAGTGATTGGTGAATTATGATTTTTTCTGTTAACTTCCTGTTTTGTCTCCGATGTGGTCATGTTATTAGTTTGCCTGCTAGTGGGAGGTTTATAAACGTTAGCACATGTCGACATATTATTGATAGAACCGGTTCGTTTGAGTGACCCTGCTAGTGGGGGTTATACACCAACAAATAGTGTAGCTGTCAGTGGGAGGTTTATAACACTGGCCATGACCTAAAGAGGAGACGTTTATTTCGTTTCCGTACTGTATCTGTTTTTCGTGATTACACTTGTTGGCATGCTACAAGTTTAATAAGAGGCACTCCATATTTACTTACTGAGTTATCTCATAGTTTTTTTCTTGTCCACCATTTCAGGAAGCGAAGTCAAGGATGGGGAAAAACAAGGGAAGTGACAAGTTAGAAGGCTAGCCATCTTGTAAATTGAACATAAATTTTAAATATAAATTGTGATCTTATAAGCTAGACTTTATTTGGAGATTTTATAATATAAATTCATTTAATGGATTGTTAGTTTACAAGAGATTTGACCTTGAGATTTTGAGCTTAAGTCATGTTGGACATAGAATTATTTTGAAATATCTGATTTAAATTATTGGATTGTCAAATGTGAATTGAATAAGTTCCGAGCCTTGTGCATTTGTGGGACTCTTTCACGAGTGCACAGTATCTGCCACGTCCTCGGATTTGGGTTATGGGGCTTGACACTACCATTAAGCTGGACATAGAATTATTTTGAAATATCTGATTTAAATTATTGGATTGTCAAATGTGAATTGGATAAGTTCTGAGCCTTGTGCATTTGTGGGACCCTTTCACGAGTGCACAGTATTTGCCATGTCCTCGGATTTGGGTTATGGGGCTTGACCCTACCATTAAGCTTGTAACTGCACAAGTCGATTTTATTTACTTCAACACCAAAGGCATTTAGTCTTTCCCCAAGATTGTAAGCAAATTTTTTCAGATTGTGGAACCAAATGAGCAAGTTGATCTCACAAGAGAAGAATTATAGCAAGTCACCACCTCACCACCAAGGTATACTGCTCTTGCTCAGGTAATTTCAAAATTTTCAAACCTAACTTTACTATTTAAGTGCATCTGCTTCCTTTACATTTCTTGTTGACACTTAAAATTTAACTTTACATTGAATTTGAGGAGTTGCCTTATGAACCTATAGGCAAATTCCTTAGTGGTTGGAATAGATGATAATGCCCTTGGGAGTGAGGTTTTGCCCAACTAGACCTATTAGATGACTTATTAGAAAAAGAGAAGTTCATACCACTTGATCTAGGGGAAAAGATCGTGGAAGAGGAAGTGAATGATGATCCTAATATCCCTTATTAGGAGTCAGTTAATGCTGCAACCTACCTTTTTCTTGAGCTCTTGAATGGTAACCCATCTAAACTTTGTTAAGTTGCTAATCAAAATGAGGCATTTAATATTGCTGAGATTCTAAGTAAAGCTCTTACCTTTGATGCATTAGTGTGCATGTTCTAGAATAACTTCCTTACTATCAACAAGAACTTTATTTAAAGGTTTATGAATAAGGAGAAATTTGTGTTAGATGCATTTGCAACTACAAATCTTACCTAGCAACATAAAGGAGTAGTGAAGAAGAAATAGAGTACTTATGAAAAGGTGAAAACTACTTTTAACACCTAAACTAAGCAACATTAAGACAACCTATATGAGATTGCCACACTAAAGGCCCACCTTGTCGAGTTGAGAAAAATAACAATAGAAGAAAAAGGCAACCTTAAATCCCTTAAAGATGAGAGAACCAAATTGTTGGTTGAGTTTAAGGAAGAAGGGTGTAAAGCATTGACAGCAAAGAGTGAGGCTACACAACACGAAGAGAAAGCAAATGAGGCTAACAACACATTACAATAAATGAGAGATAAGTAGGCTGACTGGAAGCGCAAAACCTTTGCTATCTTTTTTTTTTTCCTTTTTTGAACATTTATTCATCATTGTCACAGCTATTGAGCCACTTAAGCATTTGTTTCTAGGTTTCTTGTGATTTTTCCTTCTTTTGCCATGAAAGATGGATCGATGAATTTATTTACTTGCTTGTTATTCATGCTGCCCATAGCTTTACGAACAAAGCCACTTTGAAACAGGAATGTAGGAATATGCCATGGCTTTTAATAGCACCAAATGTAATGTGCACTTTTATAGTCCAGGCCAAAACTCTACACACCTTTATTAAAAGAAAAACAACTTAAATGAAATAATATATAAATGTTTACAAACTTGGATTATGTAGACATGGAGGCATGGCCATCCTACGCCTCCCATACAATTAGATAGTATGGTTTTAAGTAAATGCCATTGATCTTGCAAGGATATATGTAACTCCCCATTAACAGATTTTAACCAAAAAACACTTGTTTTAAAAACCTTATGAACTTGGAATGGTCCTTCCTAATTAGGGGACCATTTACCATATTTAGGATCTTTCTTGCCAAGCGGCAACATAGGTTTCCAAACCAAGCTTCTTTTGGCCAAACTCTTATGCTTGAGCCTTTTTTATGAGCTCATACCACTTTAAACTTCTACACCTTCATCACATCCAATGCTGTTAGCCTTGCCTCCTCAAGGTCCTCTAACTCCATAATCATGGCCTTATTGTACTTCTCAGAATTTAGGCAATTTTGAACTGCAATCTATAAGGACCTTCTTGTTAATTCTATGGGCAAGATAGCATTATAACCATAAGTGAGAATGAGGCCACCTTAGTGGAACTTTGTTGTGAGGTTTTGTATGTTGAAAAGTATCCAAAATGAGCTTATGCCACCTTCTAGGATTATCATCAACCAATTTCTCCATGATGTTGATAACAACTTTATTGGAAGCCTTCACTTGCTTATTTGCTTGTGTATAATGTGAAGTTGAGTTAAGCAAGTGAAATCTTATGTCTTTTGCAAAAGCTTCTACTTGAGATCTAGTAAAGGTAGTACCTTGATCAAAAGTGATAGTCTCTAGAATACTAAATCTATGGATTAGATCCTTTTTTTATAAACGTCATGACATTCCCTTGCTTAACCTTCTTCATAAGCCTTGCTTCCACTCACTCAATGAAGTAGTTTGTGGCAATGATTGAAAAAGAATGGCCTTTGGAAGAAAGTCGATATACTTTTCTAATTAAATCAATTGTCGAAACATGGAAAGGCCATGGCTTCACAATATGATGTAATTTAGAAGCTGGCACTCACTATAGAGGACCATACAATTGACAAGCCTTATAGCCTTTCGCATAATTGATGCAATCTTTAATGATAAATGGCCAAAAAAAACCATGCCTTTATATTAGCCATCTTATCTTAATCCTTGCTTGATGAGAACCGTATATGCCATTATAAACATTTGACATCACATGGCAACTTTCATTAGGGTTAAGGTAGCACAACAATAATTCATCTTGCCCCCTCAATATAAGACATCTCTCAATAACACATAACTTAAAGCTTGCATTCTTATTCTCTTTATTGTTTGGAACTAAGATTTCTCAAATATTCCATTATTAGATGTCGTCAATCTATAGGTGTGACATCTAGTGAGCATGCCTTCACCACTATCCCTCTTTGATGAATCAAAGGCAACACACATTTTTCAATGACAATCACTTTCTCTAAGATACCTTCAGGCATTTTCACATTCGAAGCAATCAGCACAAATTCATTTGCTTCAATATTCAAGTTGTAAGGAATATGCTTCAAAAAGATATCATCAAATTCTTTTACTAGTTAGATAGCAATGGCAAAATATGGAGATAAAACCACACTTGTACACTTGTACTTGCCACTCAATTGTTTTAGAACTAACTAAGAATCACTCACAATTTCAACCAAAGGTACCTTCAATTCCACCACCAATTCAAAGGCCAATTACCAAAAGCCTTATCTTCTACTTGGTTATTGGCGCATTCAAAGTCCAACTAAAAACACCATTGGGTTTTTATGCCATCTAGAGAAACAATAACAATTCTAACCCTGAAGGCTTGATTAGTGCTAGATCAATCAAGTTAAAAGAAAAAAGATTAACTCCTTTGTCTTCATCAACATTAACATCTAAATAGGGATGATCAGCTAAAAAGTCCAATAAGGCCTACCTTTTGATGACTTTTTTAGGCAAATATCTCATATTAACGTTGGTAAGAGTAAGAATCCATCTACCAATGTAGCTTCTTAAGATAGACTGTAGTATCATATATTTTATGGCATTAGTTTTTGAAATAACAAACACCTCCGATTATAACAAATAATGCCTTAATTTCATTGCTGCAAAGAACAAAGCCAAACACAATTTGTCAACCAAAGAATATTTCACCTTAGTTAGATTTTAAGCTTTGCTCAAATAATAAACAGCTTGCTCTTGTTTATTGTTATTTTCTTATGCCAACAAATAGCCAACCGACTCATCTATAGTGGATATGTATAGCAATAATGGTTTATTCTTAACTGGAGGAACTAACATAGGTGGCTTGGACAAGTCTTCCTTAATGGCATCGAAGGCCATTTGGTGCTAACTGTCCCATTTAAAATCTACATCAACCTGTAACTTCAAAAGAGGTGAAAAGACATAAGTCTTGTGTGCCAAATTAAAGATAAACCTCCTAGAAAATTAACCTAACCAAGGAACCATTGCAATTCCTTTTTATTCTATGATAGCTACACTTAAATTACGGCTCTTACTTTGTTTTTGGCCACTTCTAGACCACATGTATCCACTAGAAAACCCAAAAAGTGCCTTATAGTGATGCCAAAAGCACACTTAAGGAGAGTCATTTTCAGACCATGTTGTCACATCCTTTGAAAAGCTTTCCTTAGGTGTTCCAAATGTTCTTCCTTTTCCATGGATTTGACAACAACATCAGTGATATAAATCTCCATGAAGCGACCAATGATGTCATGGAAAATTGCATTCATGGCCCATTAGTATGAAGCTCATTCATTTTTCAACCCAAATGACATCATAACTCATTCATACAAACTTACGTTTCCGTGGCAATGAAACGTCATTTTTAAAATTTCATCTTCTACAATAAAAATTTGATTATATCCACTATGCCCATTCATAAAAGACAAAATATAATGGCGTGTAACTCCATCAATAAGTAAATCTGCTACTGACATGAGGTATTCATCTTTTGGTGTGGCTAGATTTAAATTCCAAAAATCAATGCGGACTCTAAACTTTTCATTTCTCTTCACAATTGGAACATTGTTAGACAACAATTCTAACTACTTGGTTATCCTTGTGAAACCAACTTTGTGCAGCCATTCTACCTCTTCCTTTACCTTTAAAGTCACCTCTAGAGACAAATGGTGTGGTCGTTGTTTGTATGGTTTGTCTTGCAATCATGGCTATAAACATGAATATCATTGCTGCCTTTGGCTTGAAAAACCAAATGAAGTGTGAGTACCAAACAAAAGAGATTCATAGGAAAGTCCCTGGTTTGAATAACATTTATGTCCTCAAGAAGATCATCATCATTGGTCAACTTTTCGTGTTAATCTGCATCAAAGGTTGCCTTCAACTTTTTCATTGATAATTAATGAGGTGAGTTTAGGAGGTG